ATTCCACGCGAAGAGAACCATCTTTGTCTCCGCTCTTTTCTCAAAGATTGGTGCCAACGCGTAGGCCAGGGTTTGATGGGAAGTGTGGGGGCTACATGGCGGGTTTCCACGTGGATCTTGGGAGAGAATGCAAGGCTGCGTAGCCGGAACGGAGTCGTGAGGCGCCGATGAGTCGAGCCTAGGACTCAATTTCCACGCCATCAATGCCTTTTTTGCTCACCTGCTTCGAAACATATTTATAGTGCATACTGTTGCGCCTCCAAACTTTACCAAGTTCAGTGTCGTAAAGCGCATGGAAAAGGCAGAGGGATCGACCCGGTCTGACAGACCGGGGCTCCGGGTTGCTGGCTTCTTGAGCTGGGCCTGTCACTGAGTGATATGATAGAAAGCCCAAATATCAAGGCTGAAAAGACTTGAGGACAAATTTCTACGAGGGGTAAAGCTGCCCGTCGTAACAATGTTTGTCCGTGATGGCGGCTATGGTAGAGAGCTCCCTCGCCAGGGGCACGGTGACGTCTGTCAGCGAGCAACTTGAGCCTCGAGTGTTCCGGAGGAAGGCTGGGCGGGCGAATTGAAAGGCACATTCCCACGACACACCACATTGCTCCACACAGATTTCATTCTTCAAGCTCAGTGCTACGTACATCTCGCGAGTCAGCACTCTATCAAAGCCGCAAGGAACATGCTGCGGCGCATCCTACCCGTCTGCCTCCGTCCCCTCCCAGGTTTCACACGAGCCTTTGGCACTGTGCCTGTTGACCTTCCTGAGCACCCACCGACCGTGAATGCCTCGACAGATAAGCAGCGCTACGATTGGCAGGACCCTTTGCTCTTACGAGCTCAACTGACAGAAGAGGAAGGCATGATTCAGGACATGGCCCGTGCCTACTGTCAACAGAGCCTGCAACCCCGCATCTTGCACGCAAACCGTCACGAGGAGTTCGACAGGAAGATTATGACCGAGATGGGCGAGCTAGGATTGCTGGGGCCAACAATTCGAGGCTACGGATGTTCCGGGGTAGGCTATGTAGCGTATGGCTTGATTGCCCGCGAGGTGGAGGCTGTGGACAGCGCCTATCGTTCCGCTATGAGCGTGCAGTCGTCCCTGGTGATGCACCCCATCTACACGTTCGGCACTAAGGAACAAAAAGAAAAGTATCTGCCAGGACTGGCCAAGGGCGCTCTGGTGGGCTGTTTCGGCCTGACGGAGCCCAACCACGGGTCGGATCCGGGGGGCATGGAGACGAGGGCGCGGAAGCAGCCGGACGGGGGCTACGTCCTGAGCGGCTCCAAGAACTGGATCACTAACTCCCCGATAGCCGACGTCTTCGTGGTATGGGCGAAGGACGACGAGGGCGCGATTCGGGGTTTCGTGTTGGAGAGAGGGATGAAGGGATTGACAGCGCCCAAAATCGAAGGGAAGTTCTCTCTCCGGGCCTCGACCACAGGCATGATTGTGATGGACGACGTCGAGGTGCCGGCTAGTAACCTCCTGCCACTGGCTCGTGGGTTGGGAGGGCCTTTCTCCTGCCTGAACAGTGCGCGGTACGGCATCTCCTGGGGGAGCATGGGCGCGGCCGCCTTCTGCATGTCGACTGCCTTGGCGTACGTTCTGGAGCGTAGTCAGTTCGGGGCCCCGCTAGCGAGCAATCAGCTCATACAAAGGAAACTGGCTGATATGGACACGGACATCGCTCTGGCGCTGCAAGGATCACTACGGGTGGGGAGGCTGCTCGACGAGGGGCGTGCGGTTCCCGAGATGGTCTCCTTGGTGAAGCGGAACAATTGCGGGAAGGCTTTGAACATTGCGAGGAGCGCCCGGGACATGCTAGGAGGCAATGGCATATCGGACGAGTATCACGTCATTCGTCACATGATGAATTTGGAGGCTGTCAACACTTATGAAGGCACACACGACGTACACGCCCTCATCCTCGGCCGCGCCATCACCGGAATCCCTGCCTTTGTTCCTCGAAATAGTTATCCGAAGGCCCAAAAACGCGAGTCTTAATGTAAAATAAGTACCTCCCTAGGATCACCAAGAAGAATAAGGTTCTTGATCTTTCTTTTTTTCTTTTTTTTTGACACTACGGCGTTTCGTACAACAGATTATTGATTGCAGAAAGTGAGGCGCTTTCCAAACCGACAAACGCAGCTAACCGATATTTGTCTTTTTTTTAAAATACTTTCATTTCCTTGAAAGATATTGGCGCACCATTGATTGCCAAGCGCTGCACATAACGTCGCAGTTACTGATGCTAAGGATCAAGCTAAGAGCGATCGGAGCGTCCGGTCCACGGTGCTGCTTCAGGAACTTGCTGAGCATTGTGTGTCCCAGGACGTGATGTTCCAAAAGCAATACGAGATCTTTTTTCAAAGCAGCGCGAAGCTTGACAGCGCTCGCGGAGCGATGTCTTTGTTTCCCGAACTTGGTGAGGGAAGTCTCCGCTTCTCTTTCTGGCGATAGTCGGATCCGCCCGTCTCATTCCGCATATTCATTTTACCACACGTTGCATCCTGGAACCAATTGCACTTTTCTCTACAGGTCGGAGATATTTCCCTCTTCATGTTGTCGGGTCTGTTTTCTTCGAAGCCCACGTGCCTGGCCTTCAAGGTCTTATTTCTGACATCGTTGGCATCTTCGTCAGCATTCGCTTTGCCGCGCACGCTTTACGATTTCAGCTTGAAAGATGGCACGGGGAAAACTCAGAGCTTGTCCGTCTACAAAGATAAGCCAGTCGTGTTAATGTACGTGAAATGGATGGGGTCGGTGTCATGAGAAAGGATCCACATGTCAGCTTACTATGAAGCCGCCCGCCCCCTTCCATTCATGAGCAGTGTTAATGTGGCGAGTAGATGCGGGTACACGGACTCAAACTATCGACAGCTTCAAGTGTTACAGGAAAAGTACGGGGATGACGGGCTGCAGGTCTTGGCCATGCCCAGCAACGAGTTCGGAGGTCAGCACCAGAAGGAACGGGGAGGGAGTGGCAACCATGTTGTTCTGTAACGTAGATCAATTACTCTCACCACCTGTGGTTGAGCCAGTGCCTCTTCATGCATTACACTCTTCTATTGGCAATAGCACACGTGAACATTTCTCTATTCCTGAAGCTCGAGGCGGGTCCCCGACACCACTTGATGTCCTCCTGCACGTGTCTCACACCCCCGAACCTCCAGGCCAGGAACCCGGGTCGGACGCGGAAATCCTCAAGTTTACGAAAGAGAAGTATGCGGTCACCTTCCCTGTATTTAGCAAGCTGCTAGTCAACGGACCTCAGGCCTCGGACCTCTACAAATGGCTGAAGGCGGAGACCCCCAAGGACTCCTCGTCATCCAGCGCCGACATCCGCTGGAATTTCACCAAGGTGCGCTCGCCCGATGACGTGCCTCGGCGTTTAAGGGTCGCTTAGGCTGTACCTCGATGTGTGCCTGTGGTTCACGAGGCTTGCGTTAGTAGCTCAATTCACTTTATTCTAATTCGATACCATCGACCTCGCTTTCCCTCCTCTCCTAGTTCTTGCTCGTCAACGGTCTGCCCGTGAAGCGCTTCGCCCACAACCAAGCCCCGAACGACTTCGAAGGCGAGATCCTCCAGGCGCTGCGTGATGCGGCATCCAAGGAACTCTAGGGAAGAAGAGGCCCGCGTTCTTACACAGCGACGACTCACTCGGGCAGGCGCGGTGGTTCCACCGCTAATATTTCAAAAGCAAGAGCACGAAGTTACAGGTTTTTCACAGGCGTGCTTTGTTGTCATTTTCTTTCAAGGCTTTGCATCTCTGTACACAATGATCCTTACACGACTGGACCACGCCTCCCTTCGGTTGCAGTCATGCCGCCAGAGTCCATCCCTCAATCGAAGTAGTGATGTTTGATCAAGGACCGCTGAAGCACCAAAGCACCCACCACGCTCAAGGCCGCCACCCCCACGCCCACTCCCAGGGCTGTAGCCTCCATGCGCGAGCCCGCGTCAGGAAAGACGGCCAAACCGATGTCCTCCCAGTTCGGCTCCGCCCAGTTGGGAGCCGCCGGGTCCGAGACCGCGAAGAGACCCGGCTCGGGGAGCGGGGCAAGCCCGGGGTCGAGGGCTGTGTGGTAGAAGGCGGCGGTGCGGCAAACGCAGGCGTCGAGGACGCACTCGCGCGTGGAGAGGCCCGCGTCGCACGTCAGGTCGCTGCAGTCGGAAGGACCTTGACAAGCGACGGGGGCATCCTCCCCGCCCTGTCCCAGGGTGTGCCCCAGCCAGGCCCGCAGGAAGGCCTCCAGAGGCTTCGGGACCACGTAGGCTTTGTCGTGGGCCCCCACGGGGAAGACTTGTCCTGCAGGCCAGGCGGCATAAATGCCGGTGTCGACACCCTCCGCGTGGGAGCTCTTGTCTAGGTGCTGGACCAAGGGCAGACCCTGATAGGGAGCAAGCACGCCCGCGTAGTATGTGGGGGGGCGCGGGACAGGGGGGGTGTACAGGTACGACATCTGCAAGTAGTCTTTGAGGTTTGAGATTTCTGAGTCGCGAAAAGCTTTCATGGCTGGACAGTCCCAATCCCGGGTCAGGCAATCCAACAGGTCGGAGACAAAGGCAGGTTCGACTCCGATAGCCTCGAGCTCCGCGGCTGACGCAGCGCCTTCGCCCGGACCGGCTGCCAGCTTCCAAAAGGCGCGAGCGACGAGGGCGGCGACGGAGGAGAGGGCCGTCGGGTCGAGGACTGCCGCCGTGTCCTCATGGGAGTGGTAACGCGGGTCTATGAAGGTCTCCCCGTAGCCCGTCAGGATGGCGCCGCTCAGTGCCGGGGTCCCGCGGGCGAAGGAAGTGAAGGGAGAGGGGGGCAACGCTCCCGATCCGTCCAAAGACGTGACCATGACGGCCTGTGAAGGGGCCATGGAGGCGGCGGCCCTGTCGATGGCGTCCAGTACGGCCGTCGGCGGGGTCTTGTCGTAAAGGGCGGTTAGAGGGAGCGAGCCTGCTTGCCCGCCGGTGCCCAGCACCCCCACTTGATCGACAGCCAGCACGTGGACGAAACCCTTCTCCGCCAGGTCTTTGAAGGCCATGGACGGGTAGACGCCGTCCGGCCCCACACAGGCGCCGGACCCGTCCCGCGAGCTGTTGTCGGGAACCGTGGCCGTGCAGTCGACACCCCCAGGGCTGATATCCCGCGCGAAGCGGCGCGACCCCGCAAAGCCCCATTCGTCGGCTTGGAAGAAGGCGACGGCCAGGTTATAGGGTGCCGCATCCAGGTCCAAGGCTCCAGCGCGTGAAGCATTTTTAAGGGCACTTGTAGCCGCGAGGAGGGTGAGGATGGAGGCCACTGCCTCGTTCGCCGCAGGGGTCCTCTCATGAAAGAAAGACAGGCCGTCCATGGCTGTTGTAAGAAGCACACTTGGCTTCGTCTGCAGGCCCGTCCGCCCACCGAACGTTCCCCAGACGCTTTGCCCCCCTATAGGCAGGCACTGGGGGGCAGGGTTGCCTGCCACATCCCTCCAGGACAAACAGTCGGCCGACGTCAAATCTGATTCCGCCCGAGTCGACGGGGAGTCAGGGCCGAAGTAGAAGTCGAACTTGGCTTTGTAACGGGGCAGTGGTCCAGCACGACCTAATCCACCGTTATGTTGCGCCCATGCTTTGACCTGAGCGGCCCCAACCCCTGTGCTATCGCCATCAACGCTCGCCAAGACGACGGGGAAGTCGTGCTTTTGATTGAGCAGCCCGCTTCCCCGGGGGTTCCAGGCGTGATCTGGTCCAACGGTAAAGGCTGCACTGGGTGTACCATCGCCTTGTGGCGTGGAAACATCCGGAGAAACGGAGTCTCGCTCGAAATCTGCGGCCATATCTTTGGATTCTTCTAGTACGATGACTCCTCGGGTGCGTGCTGGGGACTGAGCTTTCAAAAACTCGAGCACGGTAGAATTTAGCATGCTTGCGGGCATAACCACAGCGACCCCCTCCTCAAGATTCATATACTCGTGTTGGTCATCCTCCCCAAATCCGCTGAGGTAGTATAAAGGGGCAGTTGCTCCCTCACGACTCCGAGTTCGGCAGCCTACGGTGCCTTGCGAGCTAAAAAGCCGAACACAGGGGGCCTGAGTCACCTCCTTGAGGAGACCTTTTCCCAAATGAATCCCGTCATACTCTGTGAGAGCGCTGAATGGGATTGTTACCCCTACGAGCAAGGTCAGGGCGATGCTAGCTTGACGGGCTCGAGGGAGCATAGTGGGCGTCGCAGTAAAAACGTGAAAATTTAGCGAGGCAGCGGCGATCTCGTCTCTTCTGCCCTCGAATCACGCTTAAAACCCCCTGTGCGACCGTAAAGACGGGACACCTGCCGGCTGTGAAGTGTAGTCTTTGTCATCGGTGAGGAAAAACAGGTTGAGAGCTACGCCAAGGCCATAATCTACAAAGCAAGACGACCGTGCAGTGGATGGACGAGCTCCGATCTTCCCAACCTCCCGGCGCCCTAGTCGGAAGTAAGAAGTTCCTATATACACCGGTCTGGTTATGACCGTCCTACCAGTTGTCTGGGTATTGAGAGTGATGGTTATTCTCAAACTAACTTGTCCTGTTTTGTTGCCGGAAAATGTCAAACGTTCAAGCACGCGCAGCACATGAAATGGAATAGTCACACCCCGGACTCGACAATTTCTCGATTGAATTGACTTTGGTCCACAATAGCGATATATGAAGCGTGTGATAATCCATTTTATGTTCAGGAAAAGACAGAAAAAACAATTTAAATCGCGCCCGACGAAGCACCGGCTAGAAGAAACTGTCGTTATAACTTTGATGTTCGGATATTTGACGCAGACAAGACAAGCGAGATCGATTTTAACACGTCGAGCTTTTTGTGAAGCAACGCCAACAGCGTCAAACAATACTCTTTGAGAAAAGTTGTAGTCTTTTTGTACCTATCACTACGTTTCAATAAGGGTGTCGCCATACAGGCGCCGGGTACGTGACTTATAACCCTCGGAAGTCCAGCGCACCGAATTCCGAAGGCGGCAGCGCCTGGCCATGAATGCGACGAGGCTTGCGTGGATCTTCACCGAACACAATCCGACGGGCTAGCTGGAGGACTTGCCTGTCAGTGAGGTGGCTATCATCCACGTGGATCTTTTCTGTGATTTTTTCTGCCAATTGGGGCCTGGTGTTGGTGATATCCTTGAGCAAAATGTCGATCGCGTCGCCTTTGCCCTACACAGTAAGGAGGGAATCACAAAACGTATTAATACCCTGAAGCCCCTTCTGGAATGTGCAGCGTCCCGCCATCCTTTTCGCGCCCGCCTACCTTTCCGTGTCCAATAAGCAGTGCCCGGGAGGCGGGGGTGAGATGCTGTTCAATGGCGCGCATGTAGTGGTCGCGATCCGGCTGCTGGGAGGACCCAGGCGTCGCCTCACGGGGACCAAAGTTGGTGCTGTAAAGCCCCGTTCTGCTTCGGCGTTGACGCGGGTGGCCTAATTGCTGGGTGACGGGCAAGAGGGTTGGTGACTTGTAAGCATGCGCTCACGATGCAAAGTGCAGGCGACTGAAGGATCTTGCCATCGCCGACAGATAATTAGTCTCCCCGGAGCGTTCCGGAAACGCTCACGGTGGACGACCTTTACGATCTGAGCAAAGCACCCTCTGACTTTCTCTTTGCAGGTCGCGTCAGCGGAAACTTATGACGTGTGTCATGCTCGAAAAGTCTATCTCGTCCATCTCCATTCTCTGAATCCATGATTAACATCAGGAGCGATTCCTTCTTTGCTACCCCTACATCAGAAGAGCATGCGCAGCTGCACTTATTGAAAGCCTGAGAGGTCGCTCTCCTGGGCCACCCAGATTCGCGCACCAAACATGCCCTTCGTGACTTTAAGCTCAGTTGACATGCACGTGTTTAGAGATTTGGGTGTGGAGACAAAACGACTGTTGCGCCCAGTGCCCCTCCTCGCTTGAACCACCTTTCATCCAGACATGTGCAGCACATACCTGAGTCTTCATGCGCCAAGGATCTGCAGGGTGCACGTATGTAGATGTTGGTGCTTGGCTCGTGATCGGGGGGCGCATTAAACCATGGTAGAACTTGGTGCATTTCTCATTCACGACGACCACCACCATCCCGTGGTCGTGGGTGAAGTCATCGTCGGCGGATGCCTCAGGACCATCGTCTCGATTATGCTTTCGAATGCCACGCGAAAGGTCGCGCTGGTACGGAGAGGGTGTGGACGGCTTAAAAGCCGCAGCGGATACCATCAGGCACACAAGGAAAGCCAGATGCCTTTTCATTGCCATACCAATTGCGTGGGATATCTTGCCGGTTGAATTTCGAAGAAGCTATCTGTTATTCTAGTGTGTATCGTTGCCGGCAACAGAATTCCGCAAGTCAGTGAGGGAGATAAGAAAAGTACTGGTTCCGTGGTCGCACAAGTTCACTACTTTGAGTGCACCCGGTGGGCAGGCGCTTCAATGTAAGTCGAGGATGATGGGAATTCGGGCAGAGGCATGCTCGGGGAAAAACCCAGGTTAGAGGCGACAAGGAAAAAGGCGAGGCAGCAAAAGCCAAAAAGCTCGCCCGCCCCCTGCAAATTGTCGGGGAGGCCTCTCAGGTAACAGCACGTGGTAGCGTCTCCCCGCATGTCCCGCACCACGCCCGCTTGGGCAGAGACTCGTGAAATGTGTGGTTCTGTTGACGTTAGGACGAGCTCGAGTCACGGCAGGCGCTTTAGCCGTCCTTTAGGTGGTGGGGATGGATACAATAAAAGAGAAGAGGCGTGTCGAAGCCTTCAATATGCGTCACTCCTTCTCTCCCTCAGGCAAAGCCTCAGGCGCATTATAGGAGCCGTCCCGCTTGGAAACCATTAGTTAATTTTCTTTTCTCGCTTTATAATTCTACTGCACATAAATGCCGCGCTTACAGGCACCACAGTCTCTGTATTTACTCTCACAACACTCGGCTTTCTTGAGGGAGAGGAGGTGAGACGGAGGACGGGCAAAAACACCCGAGCGAGCGACAAAGAAGAGAGCTACGCTGCCTTTTCAGCAAAAGTGACGGCCGCATCACATTTTTGTCACCGACCATCACTCAAGTGATTTCACCATTCACAGTGCCCTCTGTTTTTTGAGCGGGACGGGCGCTAAAGTTGCAAGACATGTCGGCCGTGGCCATGTCGGCACAAAACAGAAGCAAGATAGGGTCTGGGCAGGACACGTTGGACGGAGAATTTCTGGGTCTGAGCCACTCTCCACCGCAGTTCACGCCCTCCAGCTACGAGGCATCGCATATGCAAAAGGTAAGAAATGAGACGTGAGGAGACACGGCTTGCAGTTTTTTGGGCTTGTCCTCGGCACCCTTTCAATACGATATCATCGGCATGCCATATTTGTGCCCGTTCTGCTGTTCATAACGTGTCGTAGGGTGGGAAATTGAACGAAAGAATTCTTTTGAAATGTGCCTGTGATATAGAAGTCTCCGATGGTCGTTTGCGAGGCCTTTTTTTCGTGTCCAGGAAGAGCGCTGGTCTTCCATTGCGGATACTAAATGTCCACGGGCTTTTGGGAGGAGCAGGCACTCGAGCAGGATCTCTCATCTTATCATGCGCTCACCTCGCCTCTTCCTGCTATACCCATAATCCCTCCCGCCGCTCAGCGCATCCGCTCTGGCAGCATCTCGGGCCGCCTCCGAAGCGCCTCCGAGCTGGAGGAGAAGGGCCTGATTGACCGGATGCAGAAAGGGGTACTGAAAAACCTCATCATGTCCGGAGACGAGCACTTGCTCCCGGTTTTGGATAAATTCAGAGAGGAGGGCGACACCTCGGAGCTGCGTTCCCTGTTGAAGAGCGGCGTGCTGGAGGGGCGGCCGAGCCTGGACCTTGAGCTCTTGATGGACGACCTGGACATGAACTTCCTGCAGCTCAGCAGCGGGGTGATGGGAATGGGCGGGGGTCTGGGGGGGGACGGCGAGCATTGTCAGTTCGACATGGACGACATGGCCTCCCTGATCGCGGGCGACCAGGCGGGACAGGGCTCGGTGGGGGCGGGATCCTTCATGGAGGAGGAGCTGCTCTCGAGCATGGTGGGCGTGCTGGGACGGTCCATGAGCCCCAGTCACAGCGCCTCCTTTGGCCTCTCTCCCTTTGCCGAGGAGAGCGGTTCAGGAGGGCTGCCCGCCTTCCTGGTCGCGGTGAAAGACGAGGCCCCACCAACTCTGGCAGGGGAGGGAGGGAAGGGGGCGCCGGTCATGAGGGGGAAGGCGGCAGCGGCCTCAGGGGCGGCGCGCAACAACAAACCGCCATCGGGTCCGCCCTCTGCGTCCGCCGC